CCCCAAAACCCCAAAACCCCATGATAATTTTTATAATCGTTAATCTCAGATAGTGAATATAATTGAATAATTTTTTTAATGTATCGTAAGTTATATAACAACGATAAATTTTAATTGAGATCAATTTGATACTACATATAGTGTAATGACTTAAAAATTAGTTCTTATCATTATGCCTTTTTTCATTGATTTTTTCAATTGTTAAAATGCTTCTTCATATTCTTGAATTTTCAATTAGTACTTTTTAAAAAAGAGATCTTGCCACCTCAGTTATGGTTTACTGATTCACAAGATTTAGTTAAATTCTATTAGAATCAAAGTTTAAAATCTCTGATTTAATTTCCATTTTTCCTTTGAACTTATTCGAAATATCTGAGTATTTGAGTATTTCTAACTTTAAATCTGACTTTTAATTTGATTCCTTATTCAAATCGGCATTCTTAGTACCGATACTTTTTTCCTTAATGATTGAGAAAATTTACTTGTATGATGGTTGCTATGTTAGTACCTAGCAGTGAAAAATATGTTACTCATTGGAATTATTAATAAGTTAATTTGCTTATAGCTAACTACAATTATTATAATTTTTATCATGTACATACTCCTTGCTTTCAAAATTATCTGATTCCTCAAGATTCTTGTTTATTCTCGATTTATTTTCTTTAGCAATATTACTTTCATTATGACCATCAATCTTATGGGAGGTATATTGATTTTCCCCCTAGCTTTATTATTTTCTTTTAACTCTAATCATCCTAATTTATTTTTTTAAACGTTTAATCTCTGCTGACATTATTTTGAAATAGTAACCTCACTATGAATTGTTAACTGAGTTAAAATCATTCTTTTCGATGATCAAACAAGCTATTTAATGAGGCGACAAATTTTTATCTGACTTATTAAATGAGTTGATGTCTTACTTAATTTAGCAAAGTTGCTCACTATTCAATATTTACTGCCTTAAAGTAGGCCTTTGCATAGATTTGTAATAATCATTATTATCTATTTAAGACTCAGCATATTATTGGAATCCAAGCCTGGGAAGAATATCCTCAGTATAGTGGATAACTCGAGGAAATTGTTCACTATGGATTGAGTTAATTGCGGGGATTCTATTAAAATTAGCTGAGACTCCAGAATGAATCAAATTTTTAGGATACTATTGAATTTAATTAGGTGTGAAAACATAAGCTTATGAAGCCTTCGAATATGTACTCTAGTTAATCATTAATTATTTATATTAAATCATTCTATTCTATACTAATATTAAAATTTAATTTTTATCTGAATATCCAACTTTAATGGTAAGTCGGGGTTTTGGGGTTTTGGGGTTTTGGGG